TGCCCTGTTGGAAGCTTGCGATCAGAGGGTGAGCGCCCTCCCCGGGAAACCTTGGACATGCCCGACCCCCTCCCGGCCGCCGGTGCCCTTCGGGGGCCCCGGGGCTGGGCCACGTGTTTCCCCGTTCCGCAGTCCGCCTGGACACTGAGCGGCTTCTGGCCCATCTCCAGGGTCCCGTGCTTGGCCGCGCGGCCCCGCGGAGGCCGGCGCAGAGGAGCCCGTGCCTTTGGCAAGGTAACGCCGGGCCGCGGGGAGCTCGCGGTGGCGGCGCTCGCCTCACCCAGGCGGCTGTGTGTTCCTCGGAGAGCTCAGCGTGCAAGGGCGTCTCTCGGCCGGTAAGCCTCGGGCCTGCCGGCGCTCGCGTATCGAGCCGGGAGAAGAACTCTGCCTCAGGCCCCTTTCCTCCGGGAGAAGGCTGCGGCTCGGCCTTCCGTTCGTCGTGCTCCCTCGGTCCAGGAAACTTTCCGTCACGCGGCTGTGCGCGCCGAGTCTTTTCCCAGCGCCCGCATCAGGACGTTTCCGACACCGACGGGGGAACGGCCCTTTCCGCCCTCTTTGCAGCCGGGCCCGCCAGGCTCCCGCGGGCGGGGCTCATCGCGAGAGCCGTGTGAGGACCTGCCGTCTCCCCTGGGACGGGGCCACCGTGCTCACAGCACCCCGGGTCCCACGCAATTGGCTCTGCGGCTTCGAGGCGGGACCGAGCAATCTGTGGCGTCGCCGTGGACGTGTGGGACGTGGGCCGGCTCGGCTCCCTCGCAGAGCAAGGGTGTTGGCCCGGCGCAACGCCGCTGTCCTTCCCGCGGAAGGGAGGCGAGATGAAGGTTTCCAGAAGGGAAAGGGCAGCCCGTGTGGCGTCCCGGAGCAGGCGGGAGAGGCATCCACCTGGCACCGCGGCCTTCCTGACGCTCCGGGCGCCTCACGCTCCACCCCCGGCTGTTCTTTCCCGCGCAGCTCCGGGGGTCTCTCTCGCAGGTTCCCGCGGAGAGGTTCCGACACACGGGAACCCCGCGACGGGCCAAGATCCAGGGACGCGGAGAGCACGTGGGTTACCCCGCGGTCACGTAGCAGCGCTGCCCTCGCGCCGGCGCTTTGCAGAGGGTATCTCCCGTCCACAGGCCACGTGGACGAGGAGCGGCCCGTGCCCCGGATGGGGGTGTTCCCCACGATGTGAACCCGGGTGCCTTCAGACAGTGAGGCGTGAAGCCTGGATGGTTTGATAGGTAGAGCCTCTATGGTAGGAGTCCCCTGGGTTTTTTCCCCCCCTTGACCTGCCTGCGATGATGTCAGATGTTGCCCCTGTCTGACCTTAGGCAGTCTGGTTGAGACTTCCAGGGGTCTCCTGTCTATGGCTGTCTTCTTCAGCTATTAATCTAGTCCCTCTGCACTCTGCAGGCTGGTTTAGCGATACCACAGGGCGGGCTGGAGTCCCTCCTGGGTGAAGGTTATTGGGTCCTCTCACACTGCTGCTGCTCGGGGGAGTGGTATGCCTGAGCAAGATGGCTGTTTGTGTCTTGGAGCTTAGTCAGCACTGGGATCCTACCAGCTACCCTCTCAGTACCCTCCCCAAGGCCTCCTTCCTCAGTCTCTCTTCAGGCACCTCTAGCCCACTCTGCCCCTGCCTTTGCTGGAGACTAGGGTTAGTGGGTGCAAATTAAAATTTATGCGTTGGCCTTTTAAATGGCTCTTTCCTTCTCCAGCTGCCTGTCTCTGTCAGATAGCAACCCTGCTGGTTTTTGCAACTCAGCTGTTATCTGTGTACTTTTTGGGCTCTGGTGCTGTAGGCTTGAGATCCCCGCTTATGGTTTAGACCCTGCTCTTCTCCAGGGGATCCAACTGATCGTTTCAATATCCTTCTGGTGCTGCCACCCATGGGTGCTCTGCCCACCTTATTGAGTCTCTACTGCACTCCTTACCAGTTAGGTTGTGCTAAAGCTGATTCTTCTATCTGCACAGGGTATAAGGTTCCTCTCTCGCTATTGTTCTGTTGTTTGTTCCAGGTGATTTCTCCACAATTTGGTTGTAATTCCAGATTAGTCCTAGGAGGAGGTCAGTGTGACTTTTCCTCACTCCTGTCCACAAATTAGTCCATTTAAAACTGAAACTACAGTGCTGGATGTATTACACACACTGATTTTAATAGAAAAATTGCAAAAATTACTCACTACTTTCCAGTTTTCTCTCTTCTAAGACACAGAGATGACTACGTTTTCCAGCTCACTGGCAGCCAGACAAGGCCATATTACTAGTTTTTGCCAATGTATTCTGAGAAGAGGTGATGAGAGGTGGCAATGATGTCACCTCTGAGTGGAAGCCATGACAAGCTCCAGTACAACCTTCTGTCAGTCTTTGTCTGGGTGACAACGTAGATCAGAATGCCTGCTTCCCTGTTTTGGCATGTAACATGATAAATAAAGCTTTGAGGGGTTAGGCAATGACCATCACTAGCAGGTTTCTCAATGGACAGCCAGTGGACAAACAGTGTGCTATTTTGTGGACAGAAGGTGAGTCTCTATGAGACAGAATGTTATATGTCTGCATACATAATATCTTTTCATTAGAGAGAAACTGGCTAAAATTATGGCCCATGTGCCAGCAGCACTAATCCTGGACTTCAAAGTCACATTGATATATCGTGTCACTTTAAATTGTAAAAGACATGGCATGAATTATTTTCTCACATGTCATTTCTAATAATGTTGCTTCATGTAAACATTATATTCATATGTAAGAGGATAGGGATTACCTGTCTATTTTTAGATGATCTAACAGCTCTGACCCCAACCAGTTCTGTTTGTTTACATTTGGAGTAACTGCCAAGCATTCATGCTGGTTGTTGCTTCACTTTTGCCCATAGTGAGATTTCAGCAGTTGCCATGCATTATGCAGATGACAGGAAGTGTATTTATTCTATCCAGCATGTACAAAGTCCACAAACAATGGGTTTGGATCTATTTTAGATTGTCCAGCCAAACAATGAATACAGATCTGTGTTTACAAGAAATACTTTGTGCTGATAAGACTAACAAAAGAAATCTGATCATTGTTCATCCCTATTGAACTTCTTGATTACTAAACCATATGATAAATGGCTGGTCTGTTAGTCATTTCTTTGGTTTTTCATTTATTCAACAAATATTTATTCAATGCCTGCTTTGTGCCAAGCATGTAATAGGATGCAAGCATCCAGAATCTAATGTCAATCTGTGGATTTTGTTAATATTAATTTATCAAAATATCTGTCTGTTCACCAGAAAGTTGGCAGTTATGGGGATTGTTTTAATAGTGCAAATGGATGAATGTTAAATATGTCTCTTTTAATTGTTACATGGGGACTTGACAGATAAGGAATGAAGTTCTTGAAAGTCAATTCAATTAATTTCATGAAGGAAATAATGATTATAAATAGTATCCAAAGTCGGGGTAAGACCTCTGGTTCATGAGAGCAGTTACATAAATTTAAGGTAGAATCTGAAAACATGTGAAGAGTTATATAGATATTCGCACTTAGCACATAGGGATTTTATGGAATTTTATTAACTGGTAACCCTAAAGTATGTAACACCCACACAAGACATTCTCCTATGTTAAGGTGAAAGCACTGAATCCATCCTTGGTGGTGATGAAGTGTCAAGGAGAATCTTCTTCCCCTCACTACTGGAGGTGTTTCCTGCTCCCTCATGTTCTCGTTGCCATCGCCATTAGCAGTTGCTGGAGCTGGAGGAATGGGCCTGTGCCCGTGGGCACCTGACTCATCAACATCTCCAGAGGTATGCTCTGTGTGGGCTGTGTGCAAAACACACTTTTGCACAGAACCTTATGTTAAAAAGCACCTTAAAGGCAGATTCTAGTAGTCAAAATATTAAGAATTCAATAAATGCAATACTTTGGCTCATTGGGTCACAACCTTTTTTCCTATCAGACATAACATTCTTATCAACACCAAAGGTGTACCCAGGAGCAGCCAGAGTTATTGGCAAGTCCCTGAGACAGAAAGCTGTTCACTTTTTTCTGTCTCACTCAGGAGCACCTTTTAATGTACAACCGAGAGTGGAGGTATCAGAGCAAAAACCTTGTATCTGAGCTGACATATACACAAAGTAGTCATGTGTAAACATCAGCAGTTTGTTATCAGATTGACTTGGGAAAACATTCACAGCTAATCTCACTCTCTTGTCACTGTATGTCATTCATTTTTTTAACAGCCAGTCTAGATAAATATGCAGAGTAATTTCATGGTACTGCAAAAGAACATGTAAGTTCTCAGAATAAGAGTAATAACACTTTACATTATTACTATACTTAGGCCCAGGACATGGTATCTAAGTGTGGGTCTTTGCTTTTGTCTCCATACTTACTGTCAGGCCTCTGGATGGATGGTGTCATTGATCAACTGAATCTGTACTGTTACCTAGGCTGAATACCCTGCTTATTTCATACTTCCCTTCAGTTTTTTGGTAGCCAGTTGGTAATATTTATCTAGACTGCAGAGGAAGTTATCAGTGAATATTTGAGGATTACAACGCATTTTTCACTAGGGCCTCAGTATTAAAAAAAATAAAACAACCTTCAGTGGTTCTGTTAGTATATCTTTGGCCAGTATCTATCAAATGAAGTCAATATTTAATCAAAACTTCTATTTCACAAACAGCAAACCAAAGGTCTCCACAGACAACCCAGTAAACTATAAAATACTACAGTTAAAATGCTCACTTCTCTTTTTTCCTAGAACAAAATTGAGCCATAACACTCTTACTAGATCATGCTTAAGCCCACCTCAGTAAACTTGAGTAAACTATCCAACACTTATCTCTAGTTTAACATTTTATTGTGTATCGTGACATTTTATGGTAAGTTTTGCTTATACTAAGAGGCTACTCACAATTACTCATATTTCTATTTGATGCATTTAAAAAATGTACAATTAAAAGTAAGAAAGAATAGAATCCAGCCATTCAACAGATGTTTCTCTCTCTTCATGGTCTGGCACATAGATTTGTGTCATGCTCCCTTCAGCAGCACATATGTTAAAATTGGAATGATAAAGAGAATATTAGCATGCCCCCTGTGCAAGGATGACATGCAAATTTGTGAAGCGTTCCATAATTAAAAGGTTGGCTTTAAATAAAGCAGTTACTTCATCATGGCAGACACAACAAAAGAGCTTTTAGAAGCTTTCTAAGATTGTATTCATTCCTGACCTGAACTCTGCATCTCAGACAGCACTAGTGTTCATCACATACTGAAATGAGCATGTGTATTTGCCATGAAAATTCACAGAAGTATTTGCACAAAAACCCGCTTTGTACAAAGTACTCTTAGCACACAGTGCTCTTCAGAGGTTCCAGGTCTTCACTATAGTTTCCTAGAAGGAAATGCACATTGAGGAGTATAAGAGGATTCATGTTTCTGTTCACGTCGATATTCTCCAACCTGTAGAGCACAAGTCAAACAGTAGACTGCACATGCATGTCCTAGGTGGAACACATTTTTTCACCTAAAAGAATACCGGACAGAGAAATGTGTGAAAGATGCTCTTTCTATTTCAAAACTTACACAATCATATTGATCTGTTGACTGTGTTTTGCATCAATGTGCTTTTCGTAGCTCTCCAAGAATGTAGTATTTTCTGAACTATGCTTTATCTCCAGTGGTACTAAGCATTCATTTCATACTGAAATGAATATGTGTACTTTTCCTAGACTTTGTAGAAGTGTCTCCCAAAAAATACCTGGAGTGATATGACATGGTATTAGTACAAAGTTGTTTGAAGCTTTTAAACAGTTCAGTTTTTCAGAAGGGAATGTTCATGTGGACCATAAGTGGACTCATGTTTACATTCACTTTGATATTCACAAACCTGTAGAATAAAAGTCATGTAGTAGACTGTACATACATGTCCTAGGAGGAATGTTTTTCTGCTTGAAAGTTTACAGAAAATTGTATGCAAGCTGCTTATTCAGTTTCAAAACTGACATAATTGTATTAATTCACTGTTTTCTATATGGAAAAAGTGTCTTTAGTACCTCTCTAAGAATGTGTGCATTGCTGACCTGTACTCTTTATCTCACACAGCACTAGTATTCATCACATACTGAAATGAGTATGGGTATTTGGCCTCGAGAAATCACAGAAGTGGTTCATGCTAACCAGAAGACCTGCTTAGTATGAAATGATCTTATTACAAAGTGTTCTTGAAGTGTTTGAATGCTTCACTACAGAATTCCAGAAGGAAACGCACATTGTCAACTATAAATGTACCGCTATGTTAACACTCAAGTGATGTTCACAAACATGTACAGTACAATTCATATAGTACACTGTACATGCATGTGTAGGTGGAATACATTTTTCTACTTGAAAGAACACTTTACAGAAAAATGTGTGCAAGATGCCTATTCTATTTTGAAACTAACACAATTGCATGAATCCATTGATGTTTTCCACATAGAAAAGTATTTTTTGTAGCTCTCTAAGAATGTATTCATTACTAACCTGCACTCTTTTCTCAGACAGCACTAGTGCTCATCACATACCTAAATGAGTATACCTGTATGCCCTCAATCTTTGTAGAAGTGTTTGCCAAATACCCACTTGGAATGTAGTGTTTTTTAGCACACAGTGCTCTTGAAGTGTTCCAACACTTCACTACAGTTTTCTCAGAAGGAAATGTAGAATGAGGACTATAAGTGGACTCAAGTGAATATCAATTGACAGTCACAAACATGTAGAGTACAAGTCATCCAGCAGACTGTACAGTCATGTCCCAGGTGAAGTACTTCTCTGTGCTTGTAAAAATGCTTTAGAAAAAAGTGTGTGCAAAATGCTTATTCTATGTCAAAACTAACACACTCATATGAATCCATTGATGTTTTCTACCTAGGAAAGTTTTTTCGTTGTTGTTGCTCTGTAAGAATGTTTTCATTCTTGGCCTGCACTTGTTCTCTTGGACAGCACCAGTATTCATCAAATACTGAAATGAGTATGGATATTTGGCCTAGAAAAAATATGTAGAAACGTTTGCCAAAAAGCCTGCTTGGTATGCAATAATTTTATTACAAAGTATTCTTGAATTGTTTGAACACTTCACAAGAGTTTTCCAGGAGGAAATGCACATTGACAACTATAAGTTTACTCCTATGTTAACATTCAAGTGATGTTCACAAATACGTGAAGTACAATTTATTTAGTATACTGTACATGCATGTTGTAAGTGGAATGTTTTTCTGCTTGAAAGAACACTTTACAGATAATTGTGTGCAAGATGCTTATTCTATTTCAAAACTAACAATCGTATGAACACATTGATACATAGAAAAGTGTTTCCCACAGCTCACATGAAAGTTTACAGTCCTGACCTGCACTTTTCATCAAAGACAGCACTAATTTAAATCAAATTCTAAAATGAGAATATGTATTTGGATTAAAAAATTGTGAAAGTGTTTTGCAGAAAACACGCTTGGTAGGAAGTGGTTTTAGCACAAAGTGGTGTTCATATGCACTTTGAGAGTCAGAAATCTGTAGTGGACAAGTCATGTGTCATACTGTCCATGCATGTTCTACATAGAAAACATTTTTCTGCAACAAATACTTTAGAGTAAAATCTGTGTTATATGTTTATTCTATTTCAAAACAGGCATAATCCTAACAATACCATGACAGTTTTCTATAGAGAAAGGTGTTTTTAGTAGCTGTCTGGGAATGTATTCATTTCTGAACTGTACTCTTTTTGTCAGACAGCGCTAGTGTCTGGAGAACTGTGAGGTCCAGGGCACCAGAGTATGCATCCCTCTGCCCATTTCCCTGCGGGGCAAGTGGTTTGCTATCCCTTTCATAATTAGATCTACATTGATTTAGCCCCGTGTCTGCCCTTACAACAACGTGGGCAAACTTTATCAGATGGCCTCCCTGAGAACTTGCGGGGATGTTTCGCAGTCCCTGCTAGTATGACTTGGCTTGCAACAGCCAAAACACTTAATATCTCCTCTTATAGCTGCTGCTAATAGCGAGGCATGATGCTGCTCTATGCCCACATTCTGGCAGGCCTTAATGAACAGACTGATATTAGTGGCAGTTAGCTTAATAAAATTGAGAACAGCTTTAAAATCACCATTCATATTCTCATAGGCTAACTGTAATTGAATGGTTTCAGCTGCTTCCAGATTTTCAACCTGGTTCTGTATTGTCTCCTGCAGTCTGTCAACAAAATCTAAATAAGCTTCCATGGCTCCTTGTCAAATGTTAACAAACGAACTGGGCACCTGAACTTAAGCTTCCGGGACTATTTTTAGGGCACAGGAAGCAGCCGGGCAGCATTGGGCATAAACCTGGGGATCCATTCTGGACTACTCTTCAGGAGATTCATAATGAATGGCCCCAAGAAGCATATTAAGCTGCACTAGGTGGCCCCTCCTGTGGTTTTCTATGACCTTTCAGTGGCAGTGGTCAGTGTATTCTGAATGCCACACAGTGAACTGAGTTGGGGTCAGAACAGTCCTAGCCAAAGCAATCCAGTCACAAGGGGCCATTCAATAGCCACCAGTGATGGCAGAGCTAAGCCCCAAAGTTTAGGAACTAAAGCCCATTGTCTTTGATGCTCTTCTTTAAATCTTTATATATGGTCAAAGGTAAAGGCCCATGGACAAGCTGCCCATGTTGCCTTAATGATGACTGGAAATGCTGACAAGGCTTTCCAGTCTTGGGCCTCTGCAGGTTCTCTAAGATATTGTTGCATTGCAGTGGTGGTCTGAGTAAATGCCAGAGGAGAATCTGTGGGAGAAGGAGGCAGAGGTGGTAAATCTTCCTGATCATCATCCCAAGGTGGGGCAGTAGGAGGGCCAAGAGAGGAGCTACACTTTTCTGTTTGCTGTGGTGGTTCCCTGTAATTAGAATTAGTACTCACAGCTGCATTTGCCCTAAGGACCCTTCCCTTCGAGTCTGAACTTTCCGGATTACAAGGATTTCTAATATGAATAGGGAAAAGAATAGTTCTGTTCTGGCTCCTAATTAATAAATTCTTCTTTCCATAGAGGGCCCATTTTTTTTAAGCCATTTCAGTTTCTGTCCAATTTTTTCCCATACTTCTAAATCAAGAGAACATTTATCTGGAAACCACGGAAACTATTTCTTAACTGTCTGCAGTAAGATGGTTAAACTTTTATCTTTAACCCTAAATCCAGCACCCTTAAGAAACTGCTGGAGCAGTTGAAAGTACATCTTCTACTCCAGAGAAAGACTCAAGCCCATATTGCGACCGAAATGCTGTTGATTTTTTGGGGGGGGCGCTCTGCATTCTCTCAACTCTACTCCACTTTTTATAAAACTCTTCTGACTATTGCTAGGAATGACAAAAGTGTAATGCGTCAAATGGCCCTGCTTGTGTAAAATAGCTTCAAAGGCAGTCAACTCTCACTATTCACAATCCATTTCCATCCACAACCGTGAAATATGTGAGTACTGCAAGAGCTGTTTGTACTAAGATTATTTCATATCAGGCCGTGTTTTCCACAAACTCTTTTATGGAGTTTCTAAGCCAAATACAAATACCACGGACATGGTGGGAGCGTCCCCTGAAGTGGGATGAGCAATTTCCACAGGTGTTCTCCACAGAGTTCATTCTGTACAAAAAATATCATCTAGAACATGCATGGACTGGCTGCTACATGACTTGTACTCTGTTGATGCCCGACACCAAAGTGTCAATGTGTAAAAGAGTCCGCTCTTATTTGCTCAAAACCCACTTCCTACCGAACTGATGAAACATGCTAGGACTGCAAGACCAGACTCTACTAAGGCTGTTTCATTCCAAACAGGTTTTGTCAGGAAACACTTTTAAAGCACTTCCAGGCGCAATACACCGGCACAGCTGATTGTAGGGGTGTGCATTGGAATTGAAGCAGAAACTTCCACAGCTTGCCAATAAAGTTGGCATTCCAGGAGAAAAATCTTATGTCCTGTGGAACATATATGGACAGGCCACTACTTGATGTGTCCTCTACAGCTTTCTGACAGTCATGTTGCAATTGTCAGGAAGAGTCCACTCTCAGTCTTCAAAGTCCATTTCTATCCTGGAAATACCAGGGAAACAGGAGAACACCTCAAGAACACTTC